ACATACCTTGCTCTAGATATCATAATCAAAAGCCAATTAAATCACAATCTTTCCTTCTTCACCTTTAGAATTTGTCACATCTTCAGCTATCTAAGTGTTTGGCCTTAACAGTAATTCACACACTGATCGAATAAGACCTTCTTAAAGATAAGATTTTACTTGTGCTAGCAAGTTTTGTTTCTGAAACAAAAAGACCAAATCTTGTTTTATGAAAATAATTGAGAAGTGGTTGAAAGCTTAGAGTTTTAGTTTACTAACATAACATATTTATATAGGCAAACTAAGTTGTAACCCTAAATGTTGGCTCCATAAGTTTTTGATGATAACAAAACATTCTCATTCATTAATATCTAACTATACTACTTAAGTGTGTAGGATAAAAATGTATGTCAATGATAGATTACTTACTTGAAAGCAAACATCAAAACTCATCAGAATAAAGAGTTACAAATGAGCTACAAATAAAAGTCTCTTAGTTAGATAACCAAGGGAGTTAGTTAGCTAAAATCCAAAATTGAAATTGGCTGTTTCAAAGACAATAAGCTCTTAATCGATTAAAGTCTTACTTAATCGATTAATAGAGTAAAGTAGATTGTAAGACAAAGAAGACTTAATCGACTAAGAAGTATAGTTAGCCAACTAAAAGCTAGCCGTCAGAGAATTTGATTGCGAGACAGAGAAGATTTAATTGACTAAGAAGTATAGTTAGCCAACTAAAAGCTCACTATTTAAGAATTTGAATTTGAATGTTTGAAGACAAACTAATGGTTAGAAAAGATTTTAAATTGTTTTCAATTATCTAAAGCTATCAGCATATATCAGAGTTAATTTTTTAAGTATAAAAGAAATCTCCAATGGCAAAAAAAAAATATGCTTCCGAGAACAAAAAGAGCCCAAAAATAGCAAAAGTTCTCTAAATTCTTCTTATATTTCACTCTAATTTTTGTAATAGAATTTAGTACTTCGTCTTGTACCTTTCAAATGAAGTTAGTGATCATAGGTACTTTTTCATATCTGTACTCCTGATTATTTGGAGTGTGCAAGTAACTCTAAGGGGATTAATCAAGCTTGGGTTAGCTTGATTGCGATTATAGGTTCTAACTCAATATAGGAAAAGTTAGATTTGGGTTTTGGTTGATCCCAGGAAAAATCATTGTTAAAGGTTATGGCTGAGCTTTTGAAAAACCACTGTAAAAGTATGGTGAAAACTTGGGAATTCCACCGATTCTAGTGATTTGATTTGAAAATCCTTGATTGGAAGATCAAGGTAGTGGATGTAGGTTAAAGAGACCGAACCATATAAATCTTTGTTCATACCCTCTTTTATTTTTTCATTTCTTTCTTCTTTATATCATTCTTCCATTTAATTTTTAACTTCTTATCATCGATCTTTAACAAGCTTTTAATTAGATGTTAAGTTTAGTGACATTTAGAAAGTGCTATTCAACCCCACTATAGTATACATCTAAAGACCAACACTAAATATAATAGCTGTATTTTAATTTAATTAAGTCTTTTTGAACTTAATTAATTTTTTACTTTATTTTGGTCCTTTTCAATTAAGTCCAACTTAATTAATTATGTTTATTTAATCTCAATCACGTCACTTAATGCATGTGACCCATTAGACCTCTAATATGTTGGCAATAAATATAAATCTTAATCAAATATTAATTTGATAATTGATTTATATTTATAGATTATGAGCTGCATCTAGTAATATATCATGACCACCCAAATGTTAGATAGTCAATTACAGAATTTGACAAAGCCCTTCAGTGATAAGCCTCTC